GCCTTGGTGCTGATGGCATGACGCCTGTGTGGAGCAAAGATTACAGCCCCTGCCGGGATGGGATAGGACAGTCTGGTCTTGGAGCAGCCCTCTCTGGCAGAGATCCACGCCCCCCCCCCCCCACTCCTGTAGCCACTGGCATCTCCAGTCTCTGTCTGGGGCTCAAGACCTACATAGCAAGACTTGGACTGTAACAGGGTACCCCCTCTCTCCCTGTGGGTCTCTCATGAGCCTCCACATCCTCATCTGTAACATGGGCAAGTGACAGCATTCTCTTAAGAACCACACAAGATAACCTGTAGAATCTCTCTTATACACAGTGCTCTGTACATACAAGATGTTTGTCTGCTTGTTTCTATGACTACCATATGTGTGCCCATGATGTGTGTATATGTGTGCAGGACCGAGGAAGACAACTTTCGGGAGTCAGTTCTCTCATTCTGCCTTCTGTGGGTATGAGGATCAAATTTAGAGCATCAGGTTTTCAGGGTGACCTAGTTAGGGTCACTATTGCTGTGATGAAACACCATAGCCGAAGCAACTTGGGGAGGAAAGGACATATTTGGTTTACATTTCCACGTTACTGTTCATCATTGAAGGAAGTCAGGACAGGAACTCAAATAGAACAGGAACCTGGAGGCAGGAGCTGAGAAAGAGGCCATGGAAGGGGTGCTGCTTACTGGCTTGCTCCTCATGGCTTGCTCAGCCTGCTTTCTTTTTTTTTTTTTTTGGTTTTTCGAGACAGGGTTTCTCTGTGGTTTTTGGAGCCTGTCCTGGAACTAGCTCTTGTAGACCAGGCTGGTCTCGAACTCACAGGGATTTGCCTTCCTCTGCCTCCCGAGTGCTGGGATTAAAGGCGTGCCACCACCGCCGGGCTTCAGCCTGCTTTCTTAAAGAACCCAGGAATACCAGTCTAGGAACGGCACCACCCACCATGGTCTGGGTCCTCCCCCATCAATCACTGATTAAGGAAATGCCCTACAGCCCAATCTCATGGAGACATTTTCTTAACGGAAGTTCCCTTCTCTCAGATGACTACAGCTTGCATCAAATTGACATAAAACTACCCAGCACAATCGACACCTTGCTAACTTGACAAACACATACATCACTATGAAGCCACAGCCTTTCCTTTCTTGTTTATCCCTAAAATCACACATTGATATAAACATCACAATGTAAAACATTTTACAGACTTAAAAAAGTCCCCCAACCGGGGGCTAGAGAGGTGACTCAGTGATTAAGAGCACTGACTGCTCTTCCAGAGGACTGGGTTCAATTCTCAGCACCCACGTGGCAGCTCACAACTGTCTGAAGATCCAGTTGCAGGGGATTTGACACCTTCAAAGTTAAATAAACCTTTAAAAAAAAAAAAGTCCCCCAACCTTACAAATTCAAACACTGCCCACAGCAAACACTCTTAACCCACTGAGCCATCTTTCCAGCCCCTAGGCTGTTCTTATTGTGACTCTTCTGGCATTTGTGGTTATTATTATTACCCCAAAAGGAGAGCTTTTCATTCACCTTTTGGGACGAAAATAACAAGAATAACCTCTTTGTTTCGTTAAGTGTCTAAACGTAAGCAGATCCCCACTGTTCTTGAGAAATCTGGCTGGAATGTGAATGCCTCTCCCCCCACCCCTCCCCCGGGAAAATTAGTCACTGAACGTGGATTCATTCATCCAAGCAGAGTGTGCAGTGTCTACTACGTGCTGGGTATCATTCTAAATCCTGGGGAGCTTCCACTAGAACAGCAGACAAAATGCACACATAGTCCAACACATTTGATGTCAATACTGCCGAGAAAAACCAGCAGGGTAAGACAGAGGAGGGGCTGGGACACCTGGTGACAGTTTTAATCGTTGTGCTCCACGGGGCCAGAGCTCTGCTCACACTTGCCAGTGGAGTGCCCACAGAAGAAGAGAAACTGCCAAGTCTGGGGCCACCATCTACCCTAACGCTCAGAAACAAGGAAGCATTCGCCACGCATCTGGTCTCCCTTCCTCCCAGAGGTTTCACAAAAAACGGCAGCCCCGGGTCTGTCTTCAGCTTTTGGTCTTCATGAAAGAATGACGAAGCTGGCGTGTGTGTGTGTGTGCCCGGCTCTCAAAGACCCAGACAGGCGGGTATGAACTTTAAAAGGAAGAGGCTCCTGGCTGAGGCTTTGTGGGTAGATCCCAAAGTGGGCTCAGCCTGTCCCCACAGAGGCAGTGTGCGCTCCCCTAGCCCTCCTCGCCCTGCCCATCACTAAATCATCACTGAATTACTCAAAGAGCTTGCACTGGTCCGAACTCACCAGAAGCCTCCTCCAGCGGCCACTTTGTGTTCAGTAGATTAATTGCAGCTGGGGGAGGGGAAGGAATCCATTTTTAGAAAATCATTACTTTCAGAAAGAGAGGGGGGCACTTCTGGCTGAGGGAAAAGTGCTGAGCTGGCAGCTTGGGCCTGCTGCTCCAGCGCCAGGAAACGGGGACTGTACTATGCAGGCTGCTCCCTGGTGCAGCCTTGAATCCACACTGCCTGAAGCCAGGCCACCCTGCCTTTCAAGCCATGATTTCTGTCGGCCTTGCTTCCTGCCAGGCCTGTGTTCAACAGTTTGATGGTATCCTAAACAGAAGGGATCTCCCCAGTATTGGCCTTCCCTCCCCACACTGTCCTTTACCGTCTTCCCTCAGCTCCCTTGTTGAGCATACCCCCCTGAGGACAGTCGGGCCCTGTCTGCAGCTCTAGAGAATGATGAAGGGTGGGGACTTTTCCTCTCCACTCCCTCCAACTGATCATTCAATAGATTTAACTGAATGAAGCTGCTGTATCTGTTCATCAAAGTCAGCCATCCCACGGGGTCCAGCCAGCTCTTTGCATCTGTTTTCTCAGTCATCCACACCGTGGCCCCACGAGGCAGGTAGGATGCCCGCAGTTTCAGACACCGGCAGAAGGGCTGGGTGACTCACGCAAGCATGTGCACAAACCCAACCTCACTTTATTCCTCAGCCTGTAACTGTGAGCCACGACCTATTTCTTATCACATCTTCTACCCTACATGCCTGCAACACATCTAGAATGAGAGAGGACTTCTGCTTTCTTGGAACAATCCAGAACACACAGGCCAACAAAGAAGCCCCTCTGTGCTGTGCCACCCCGGTGCCAATCAGACTCAGGTGCAAGCTGTGTAGGGGAGGGTGGTGGGGCAAACCATTTACCTCCCAAATACTCTTTCTGGGTCAGAAAAGTCAGCCAGCATCCTCTTCGGTGTGGCATGGTCTTGGGAGAGTCCTTGGTCAATAAACATTGCAAATCCCGGGCACTGGGCTTGAGCAGTCAAATGGGTTCTGTCCTTTCAAGCCGGAATTTACTTAGGAAAACACACACACCTGCCCTGAGCACCTTAACCCTGCCATACCCAGAGATTAGCTAGCATGCTAAGTCAGACCTAAACCATCCAGTGGAGTAACCTCAAGAAGTTGCCTGATGTACAAATGGGGGTGATGGTGTGTAGCTAAAGGTTGTAGGGACTGTAGGGGCAATCCTCAGGTAAAACATCAGAACACTGCCCAGCAAGGGCAGAACCCAACCAAATATTCTTATTCTCTGGCTACCTTGGGGCTAACACAACTTGGCCACTCCCCCACCTCCAAGCCAGATCATGCCTTCAAGTGAGGCTGGAAGACAGGATATTGACATCTGTGATAGATGTCAACAGCCAGCCCTGGGCACAGACTTAACAGCCTCCCTTCCCCTCTAGAATCCATACTCCATAACCAATTCCAGCCTCCTCCGAGAGGCCAGTGTCTGCCTCCCCAGTTCAGAGGCTCTTCTCCCACAACAGAGCCAGTGAAGCGAATCTGGGGACTCTGACCACACAGGATTGCATTGTGTAAACACCTTGCCAGTTAGCTCCCTCAGCCTCTCAACAGCTCCGTTCTTACATAGGGTCCTGAGGGAAACTGGACAGTTAATTACCCCCCCCCCCCCCGTCAGTGGTTCTCAACCTTCCTGGTGCTTCCTATTAATAGAGGTCTTCACACTGTGGTGACCCCCAACCATACAATTATTTCATTGCTACTTCCTAATTTTTGCACTGTTATGAATCATAATGTAAATATCTCATATGCAGGATATGTGTTATGTAACCCCCTAAAGAGGTCATGACCCATAGGTTGAGAACAGCTGCCCTACGTGGTTACTACTACGCCTGCTTTCTACTGAAGCTTTCAGTATTTAAGGTGAGTATTGGGGAGCAGAGAAATGGCTCCTCAGTTTGTTGCCCTCTTAGAGGCCCTACATTCAGTTCCCAGCATCAACCCACACAGCAGCTAATACCTAAACTCTAGTTCTAGAGGAATCTAAGACTCTTCTGACCTCCGTGGATACAATGCACCTATGTAGCATACATAGGCTGAATCTAACCTAAAACATGGACAAAAATCTCAGGTTGGCTTATGCCAAGGATTTAGGAGACCTAATAGCATGAGCCCCAGATGAGCTGGACCTGAGGCCTGGAGAACCGATCAGTCATCCACAGCTAAGAGTGAAGCTTGGATTCAGTCATTGAGAGGGAAGGAGGGAGGCTTCATCCCGCGACCGCTATGGGACACTTAACCTTTATCACTTCCTGAGGCGCCGGTGCCCAGGAAGTCTCCTGGAATTTTGGCAAATTCCTGAGAAAGTTACACTGGCTCAGTGTTGGGATTACCGAGAACCAAGGGAACCTGGCTTTTGAGGATGTACCTGCTCTTCTGCCACTGACCCCACCGTCCCAGCTGACACACCCCTTCTCCCCAATTCCAACTTCCAAAACCTCTAGCCATTTCCCAATATACAATCAAGAAACTTGGAACCACACCAAACAGGATCCCTGGAGGAGGGTGGTCTTCGATCTGGGATCTGGGAACTGCTACCAGGAGCCTTTACTCCCCGGCCCATTCATCTTGGTCTCCACTGGTGAACCTCCCAGCCTCCTTCCCAGCAAAAGAAGCAGCTGAACAACATGGGATGAAGTATACATTTTAAAAACTGTTTAATGGAACATAAACTCCTTTAGAAAAACATTCAGCCGGGTGATGACACCCATAGAAAAAACACCCATCTTGTGTTTATCTCTTTTTTAATTTGGCATGTTATTTGCATTTATATTAAAGCAAAGTGCATCTTCTCTTTATTTTCCTTGTTTATACACATTGCACAATACATAAATAATGATGCTTATAAAACGTCTTTATATTTACAAGTAATAATATATTTATATATAACATAAAATACATTTTCTTTAATAAATCTCAGCTTTTTTTTAAGGAGTCCTTTCTCTCTCAAAGCACTACAATGCTAAATTTCCAATGAGAATGCTTCTCTTGTTCACTTAAACCTTTGTAGTTAGAAAAATAGCTTATGTTGAAGTCTAAACGTGCTCATTGAGCTAAGAACAGTGTCAAAGTTATCATACGAGTGTATGAGTTGAGAGAAGAGCTGGGAGTCAGCCTAGGATGGTACCTTCTGTTATGGCAGGGCCACACCTTCTCAGTGGGAAGGGGGGCCACTGAGCAGTTCCCTCCGGGATGCCCCTCGCTGGTCTACAGAGCTCAGCACACAGGCTGGGGGATGAGGTGCTGAGCTGACTTTCCACACCTGGGGGAACCTGATGAAAAACCACAGTGGGGGAACCAGCTGAGGGCCCCCACCCCCACCCCGAGGGTCCTGGGTTAGCAATACTGTGTCCGGGCTGTCCCTGCAGCCCTAGGGAAGCCCATCTCAAGAGAGAGATCCAGGAGCAGATGGCCAAAAAAGACAGACATGACAATGGCAGCGGGTGACAGGAGGCAGTAAGACAGGGATGAAAACGATTGGTTCAGCCCCTAGCAGGCTGGCTTCTCAGAAGCCTGTGGATAGGCCCGAGTCCTAAAAGGGGGGAGGCAGGGCAGGGGCTTCGGCAGGCTGGGGCAAAGCTTGGCAGCTGCTGGGACACCTGCTGCCAGTCTGCCCAGGTACTGACTCTGCCCCACTGAGCATGTCCAAAGGGCACACAGCTTGAAACTGCGGTCTCTCAGCTGGGGACATCCATAAGGAACACAAAAAGCATTTCCCCCATCTGCTGTTCACGCACGCCCCTACACGCTCGGGGACGTCCACTCTGAAGGGAAGGCAGTACCCACTACTTTCATATACCATGTTTGGCAGTGCTGACTTTTGCTTCCCATTTTTATATTGGGGTATCCTGTCAACCACACCCACCACCTCAAAAAAAAAAAAAAAAAAAGACAAACCCAAAACAAAAAACAAATTCATCATAAGCTATTTCTCAAAGAACAAGACAAACAAAACACAAATAAGAACGAGAAGGAAAAAAAAAAAAAACAAAAAACAAAACAACCAACAATGGTTAACAGCAAAACTGACCAAAGGGTTTGCATGAAAAGCAAGCACTCGGGAGGGAAAGGTTAGCAGCAAGTAGTTTGAATGGTGGCCTGCTCGGCTCACGCTCCATCCTGTCCTCTTCTCCCCGCGCTCGCGACTACCGGCTGTTGAAGATGACCTCCAGCCAGCACGGGCAGCTGCTGATGAACTGGCGGGTGTAGCACTGGCCCCAGCCCTTCACAAAGCTAATCTGCACGGTGAAGCCCGTCCATGGCTGCTGCATGAACTCGTGGTCGTTGGGCCGCTGCAGGCTGTAAGCTTTCTCATAGTCGAAAGCCTTGATGGAGAAACCAGGGAACACCTTGTGCACCAGCAGCGCTCTGGAGTCCGGGTTGTCCAGTGTGGCGGACTTGATGAAGATGGGGTAGCTGCTACGGTTGTACACCCACACGCCATCCACTTCCCTCGTCAGCTGGATGCCGCAGCCAATCTTGCTCCGCACTTTCTGCACCAGCTGACTCTTGTTATCCGAATTGAGCTGTCCGAGGCAAAAGCCATTCCCCTGAGGTAGATCATAGAAGATATCCAGGGAGGGCTCTTGGACACAGTAGAGCCTCCCCACTCGCGTCTTCTCCTCCCAGTACGCCACCACGCACCAGTGTGACCGATCCCCAGGTTCCAGAAGAAGTTGGGAATCTACAAAACAAAAAATGGCAGACTTAGTTGGCGGTGATGGTGACCAGGTTCTTTTCCCTCCTAAAATCAAAACACATAAACACGTTTGTACGCATGCTCGAGTCCCCATAACCAGTGAAATCAAAAAGAGGGGGTAAGGGTAAGCCTGGACTCAACCTAGGCTCTGTGATGCTAATGGGGGGGCTTACTACTGTTGTCCTCTCTCTCTCTCCATCTAATCAACTCCACAGCATCAGCACCTGGGCCTACTTATCTCAGAGAGACACAGACCCCGAGACCCTCGCTAACTTATTTTTTGCTGTGTTGAGCTGGAAAAGGCCTCAGCAATAGCCTAGAATCGCATCGCGTGGATGGAACCTTGAGCGACAGCCTCTCTAGGGTGACGGAAGCTGGCCTACTGGGTGGTGACCCAGTCACATTGAGAACCCAGGCGGCCTGCACCCTCTGCAGCTGGCCAGTCATCCAATTCTCACATCAGTGCCTGGTTGAGAAGGAAGAGCCAGCTGGTAAAAATAAAGATGTGGGTGGCTCTGGGGGCTTTAAAAAAAAAAAAAGTCATTTTCCCCAACAGAAACCAACTCTCTGCGTGTGCGACGGCAGCAACCCGTACAAAAGAGAAGCTCGAGTTCAGATGCCAAATTACAGCATGCATGTGGGCATCAGCCTAGACCACTGCTGGTCCAGACAGAAGATGCTGTGTCTGAAATAAATGTGACCATCCTGTGGTCCTTCTCTGCTGTCCGCCGTCCCTGGAGGTGTCTTCCCCCACTCCATTTTTGACCCTGCACGGCTCACGCTGCCTCTTGTGGATTCCGCCTGCCCCCTCCCTGACTTGCAAGTCCACCCTGGCACAGCCCACGACAGCCTCAAAGCCTGGGGTGAAGCTGCCAAGATGATTTTCCTAAATAACTGTTCTGAGACCTTTAAAAGGGGGGCTAGGTGAGGAAAGTCCCTCCCCCTGCACCGCCATCCTGCTACCTCCCTTAACTCTAGCCAAGAGAACAGGCCTCAGACTGAGGACTATAAATCTCCCCAGCCGCGCCAGGCTGCAGGAACGCCAGGCTGCAGGAACGCTGTGGTTTGTGGCAGTAGGGTGGAGACCGGAAGTCTTTGTATTTGTTAACAGAAATGGGGAAAGACAAGAGGGGAAGGTGCGGGGGATGGGGACACCAAGGCAGAACTGGAAGCCTCCTGCCTCTCTCCTACTCTGGTAGGTAGGCTCCGTTCGGTGGGCCCTGAAGATGGAGCTATGCGGGGGGGGGGGGGGGGGGGGTCCTTGTGTGTCCTTTGTTTCTGGGTTCAGAGGGATGAGGGCTGTCCCCATGCAGGGGCAGGACCAAGAGGACTCAGCCTTGTTGGTAACCCAGGGCAGTCTGGAACATCAATCCATTCCAACTTTTATAGGCATGTCAGGACCTGGTATCCAGGCAGCTCCGTTGCCTTTTTTTTTTTTTTTTTTTAAAGCAGCAGTTGGGTTTGGATGGGACATCCCACGTGCGAGTCTGTATATTTGTGCAGACTGGAACCCACAAGGTAGCCTCATACATACAAATCCTGAGCGGCTGTCCTCAGCTACACCCAACACAACACTGGCCTCTCCAATCCATGCCCAGTTAACACACAAAGGGGGTGCCAAGACCGAGGAAGTGGTGGGCTCCTATCCCTGAATCACAAACCTGCACCGTCCCCTGCCCCCACTGCCATGAACCCAACCCCCCCCCCAAGTACACAAGACTGCACGCGCATCCGAGTGTGTGTATATGGAGTGTCTGTGCCTGCACACACACTAGAACGAACATAGGAAAAACAAGAGAGGGACGAGGGCTCCGCGCAGAAGGTGACTCATCAGGCGTTAACTTGTTCCTGCAAAGGATCCATCAACTGCTAATAAACTCGTGAGCGCTGGCAATCTTTGAACTTTCTTGCAGAGAGGGCGCTCAGCTCTGGAAGCCACACCAACGACCCTGACGCCCAATGAAGTAAGACACTTCTGGCCACAAGAGTGCTCCCCCAAAGTGTCCCAACAATAACAACAAAAAAAAGAAACCTGGCCAGGGACAGGAAGACTTGGGGAGTGGCTAAAAAAGAGAAGAGGTCGGGGAGACTTTCCGAGGGGCCTGGATGCTTTGTTTCATGCAGCCCAGCCCCACTGAAACCTGGCACCAGACAGCACGGGAGGAAGGGAATGAAGGCAAGGGAGGGAGGAGGAGGAGCCTGGGATCAAGTTGCTCCCAGTGCCAGGCCTGCTGGCCTCCTCAGCAAGGGGTGGGGGTCCTGTCTGCCAGGCAAACCTAGGGGGCAGATCAAACTGGGAGAGGCTGGGGCCTGAGGCCTGTGGGGGAGAGGGAGCGAGGAAGGGAAGCATGCCTGAGTTTTTTTCATCGCAAGCAGTTTACTGCCAGGCATCCCCAGGGAAAAAAAGCCCTTTTCTGTGGGGGTTAATGACCCAGCCCAGATAAATGCAGTGTGGGTGTCTCCTCACACCACAGGGAGACCCCTACTTGCTCTTCCTAGGCTCCAGCCCCACACAGGACAGCTGGACACCTACCCTTGTTCCGACCTAGACTATTTCTGAGTACACATCAGCATCCTCTGTGCGCATCCCAGTGACGAGGCCACACACACCTTGAGAGCCTACAGCAGCACCAAACAACCTTGGCCCGAATATTGGCTGGTTAGTCTCACTTAAGGACCAGTTACCCGACTTGGGCAGCAGTCTCCTGACAAGGGTCAGGGTAGGTGCATCTCTACTAGAGTTTCCCAGGACGCATGGACAGGGTCTTCGAAGTCTTGGTCACCACAGGAAGAGCGGGGAGAAAAGGACAGGAAACCCACCCCATTGCTCATATTCCCAACACCAACCCACTGTCAATTTCTCCCAGCGTTATAACCTTTCCGGTGTTTTCAACCTTTCCTCCCCAGAAAACTGTACAGGGGCTTGTTTTCAAACTACTTGTGCTCATGCTAAAGCATCCGAAAGAAAAGCTACATTGTAAAAGGCTCGCTAATCAGATGCCTGCTCACAATTTTTTACTGCAGCTAAGGGAATTTTTGGAGCAATACCAGAAAAATGCTGAATCTGCCTAAAATTCCATTAAGGTGTTTGCCCCTCCCCTTCCACGGTTTCCTTAAGGTATAAAATCATCCCTTTAAGGGGAAAAGGGAATCGGGTACTGAGAAGGGGCAGATTTACAGTATCTGCAGAGGGAAGACCACTGAGCAAGGAGAGCTGCCACCCCTGGTCACCAGTGAACACAGACAGACACTTGTCGACCAGAGACTCATGAATGACTCTCATACTTAGGGCCTCACTGGCACGGGGTAATTAGAACTCAAGGTCACAAGTTAAGAACAGAAGAAATCTAACTTAAGGCCAGCCTGGTCTACAGAAAGAGCTCCAGGATAGCCAGGCCACACAGGTTTTTGAAACCATCTTGAAAAACCAAAACCATACATTTAGGCTGTCAAGATGGTCCACTAGGAAAAGGAGCTGGCAATCAAGATTGACAATCAAGTTTGATCCCTGAAACCCACATGGTGGCAGGGAGCAGGGAAGAACCAATGGAGTCGTCCCCCCCCCCCAACTTCCTCAAGTACAGCATAGCATGTTGTAATATATCTATCCACACAATAGATCAATAAATCAATAAATAAGCTAAGTAAAGAAATGAAACCTGAAGGTGTGAGAGACAAGGAAGAGCACACGGAAGGAAAGGCCGAATTTGAGGTCTCAGCTCACAGAGCCAACCATGAGACTATGAGGTCATCAGAAACATCAATGGGCTCCTGTCACAGACAGGCCCGACAACGGTATCCACACACATTTGGGTACCCTTCCTGTTTGGACTTACCGAGCAGGCGCTCATAGGCCATCATATCATACCCTTGTGCTCTAGCAAATAAATATCACTTTATAAACACAGAACAGGTACCACTGATGGGGAGGGGTGTCCTAGAATTTGGACCTTTTGTGAGAGAAACAAGCTTGGAAAAAATAAAGTCAGAATGGACAGAGTCAGAGGAACTAGCACTCACAAGGTTAATTGTGCCCCCAACTGCTTTGCAGATGGCAAAGGAGGGGGGTCTCACCCACTCTCACCTCCGGCTGTGATTATAAGGTTGGTATTTCTTTGCCAAAACCCAAGGGTTCTTGATGGCCTATGTGCGCCTGCTCAGTCAGTTCAAACAGGAAGGGCGCCGAAGGAGCAACCCTGCTCCCAAAGGCCTTTCCAGGCAGGTCGGGGCAAACAAAGGGCAGGCGAGTAGACACAAAGGTTCAATGCAGCCGCAAGGAACACAAACACTGACTACCAACGCCCTAGCAGCCACAGGTCAAGGGTCCTCCCTCCTCGGGACCCCACCCCGGCAGTCGACCCAGCCTGTCTTTCTACCCCAGACATCTCACAGGCAGAAAGCACCGCTGCCTTGCTCCTCCCATTTAAAGCTGGCCAGTCTGAGTTCACCTGAACCATTCCAGGACCAACAATAAACAAGAGGGGTCCAACACTCAGTCTAGGCTCATTTGCATCATAACAAGGAGGCAAAAGATCAAAGCCCACAGCCAAAGGGGAAAGCACTGACTTGAACCTGCCGTGCCTGCAAGCTCATTAGAACACGGGTAGAAATAGAGCCCTGACTTCCAGGAGGTCCTGAAACAGCTCAGTTAACTCTGGACTTTGGAGCAACTTAACTAAGAAAGCTGGAATGCTTCTGGTTAATTCCCCACCGCCGGGAGCGCTGAAACTCAACCTACAACCCCCACCAGTCACTAAGGGGATCGTGGTGTGAAATCTGGATGTAGGAGACAACATTAAGAAAGCTGGATTCCACGGGCACTCCCATGCTCTGCAGTATCTCTGGTTGCTGGGCTGGGAGGAATGGTCAAAGGAAGTTATGGACCCTCCTTCAAGGCCGGGATACTCCCCATCAGATCCTTAGGTCCAATCAGCTGAACCCCCTAACTAAACCTGACCTTCCTTAGGTCCCCCCCCCCCAAGGCA